AGGGCATCGCTATTAGCAACAAGAAGCTACTAGTAGCAAAGGGCATCGCTACTAAGTGGGAAACGATTGGTCACCAGTGACGGTGGCTGTGGGTCATGGCACCGGAGTTGCCGGTTTCATCCTGGTAGGTTGACCTAGTAGTCTATTGATTCTATTGTGTTCAATTTTGAGGCCCAACCAAGGTTTCCCGGTTTTGACCCATAGCCGTATATAGCCAGGTGAAAAAGAACGAACACCTAATTGGGTATGAGTTTGTGGGCCCGTTCTGTTCTGACCAGAATCGAACCAACCCCCATGGCTGTGCCCTTTGGCAAAGGATCACATTTGGAGGCAACTGACCCAGAAACTGTTGCCTCCTTCTCTGCTTGGCCCTTACTTGGGGCATCCCAACCTCTACTCCTGGCTTTCCCTCTTTGTCGCCATGATTACAGGGCTGGCCCTCCTCAGCTCGTGCCCTAATGTCATGTAGCTTGGAATATCTACGATGTTTCATGGCTGGGCGCTTCACATCTGCACTTCCCTGCTCTGCTGAGTGTCCTCAAAGAGGCACCATAACGTGTGCCGTACTTGCCGGTGATGCCGACCTTCTTGGTGCGCTTGGCCATGGCGGTTGTGGCGGAGCACGGGAGCTTCACACTTGAGCCTTCCCCTGATCACGAGCAACTCCTGTGAAAATGGATGCCTCCAAAGGAGGAATAAATTGTGCCTGTGCTGTGTATACAATAGCATATGTCACATTGGCGGCCTGGTGGGAAGTCCTGTCATGAACATAGTATTCTGGCACTGCCTCGACTTCATAATACCCTCTGAAAGTGTGGCAAAGTCCAACTATCACGGAGAAAAAGAGGCCAAGAGACCCACCTCCCGCAGTCAGGCGTCCAACGCAAACACGAGGACGAGCCAGTCAGAGGGAAATCAATCAAGGGTTTGCGGTTTCATAGTGTCACTCTGGTACTTCAGACTCGTTGACGCACAGGTCCCCGTCACCTTTTCCACCACAAGCATTGGGGCTCATCACGGTCACTCCTCCACACCACCTGAAAACAATGTTTACAATCCACGACAAGCACAAGGAGTGTCTCACAGACAATTTCAAAAGCGCTCAAAGACACTATCACTGACCATAGTCACTGTCACCCAAAAGGAGCCATAATACCCACCTTGCTTCCAACCTCTAGTGGATGCTTCTACACCTAGTCAGACCCATCTATGCCAACGTCCAACTTCTCCCTGCATCCATGCCATAATCTTAGATTGTGTCATCCGATTTATGATGTTCGATGTAGTAGTAGCATGAAGTAGCTCAGCGCTCTTTTGAAGCCTGTCGATCTTGTACTGCGGGGCACACATAGCGAGAATCATTCAATCAGTCAAAGAACAGTTGATCCGCATCTCAAGCCAAAATCTTGTCACTTGAAAAAGGCTATGTAGAAGACCCACATAACCTCACAAGGCTATGTTAGGTATATGCACGAAATCTACCATGTCAAGATACGTTGCCGCACGTGGCTTTGAGGTCTGAAGCTCTAGGGTCCGGGCCCTGCAGCTGCTTCCTCAGACGTGCGATAGTCGCACGCACCGTGGCGGCTGGGCCCGTGCTCAGAGTCCAGCAGCCGCCAGCCATGGTCCTGCACACTGTTTCAAGTGTCACAAGGTATCATATTGACCGTTTTGAGACTTTTAATCTCACGAGGTGTTCAAACCACACCCTGGGATCACACGATCAAAACATTTGCTTTGCCAAAGCACCATCCCTACAGCACGCATGGACAGCAACTAAGTAGCATTCATGATAATGATTATGATTGTGATGATGATGATGATGATGATGATGATGATGATGATGATGATGAACATGAACATGATCATGGTCATGGTCATGGTCATGGGGATGATGTTGATGATGATGATGATGATGGTGGTGATGATGACGATGGTGGTGGTGGTGATGATGATTATTATTATCATGATCATGATGATGACTAAGATTATGCTTTTTTATGATGTTGATTGCCATTGCAAGTGAGGTTCATGAACACTGAACACTGGGCTCCTGTTGCAGGTCTTGGATTTGCATTTCCAGATTCCACCCGCCACGCGCTTCACGTTCTCCTGCTCATGGTTGTGAGAATTACGTAGTTGATGCAAACGTTAACTGCAGGACCATCAATAATACATTGAATCTTGGACATACTACTACTACTACTACTACTACTACTACTACTACGACTACTACTATTACTACTACTACTACTACTACTACGACTACTACTACTACTACTACTACTAACTACTACTACCACCACGACTACTACGACTACTCCGACTACTGCGACTACTGCGACTACTGCGACTACTGCGACTACGACTACGACGACGACGACGACGACTACTACTACTACTACTCCTACTACTACTACGCCTGCTGCTGCTGCTGCTGCTGCTGCTGTCTATATTATTTATGATGCATAATATATGCACATCATGCATCTGGAAAACACAGTTGTAATCGAACTACTGCAGTCGCCGTGGCCTTGCCGCAGAAGCTGCACATGTAGCGAGCACGCTGCTGAATCTCGTAGCGCTTGATGATCTTCCTGCAATATGTCGGTGCGTGCCAAAATACCAAGACGCACTACTAGTGAGCTGGAAAACTATATTATAACTTACAACTTTGCAACAAAATAGATTAAAATACATTGGGAAAATGCCCTCATCTTGGGAATTTGAACGAGACCAGTTGGAACGTCGATTTGAGAAAGCCAGGCTAGGGCACTCCACCATGTTTTCTCAAGCACTTCTAAATCTTTCAATCTCATAAAATATAACCAAAATCCATTGTTTCTGGGCACCAGCAACAACACAGCACAACAGGAATTCAACTGCTGGGCATCTTAAGCCACCAAAAACATCAAAAAAACATTGGAGGATGCACTACCCATCAACGCATATCGACCCCCTTCAAGAAGTCTTTGGTAGCTGCTGGTCCTCAGGGAGGCGCCGTAGCGGGTGCCGTACTTGCCGGTGATCCCAACCTTCTTTGTGCGCTTCGCCATGGTGATCCGACAAAGGCAATCGCGTCACTTGAGCCCGAGCTACACCCATTGCGGGATTTGGAAGGAAAGAGTTGACAAAAGCTGTTGACCGAAGGTTGCAAGCCTTTCGTACCATGGAGCAGTTAGGTACCATCAAGCACCAATGCAATGCTCCTTTGGAAAGCTGGAGACCTCTGTGGGTAGGGTGTTGAGGAAAGGTCATGAAATGTCATGCAAAAAGAACTTGAACCAACAGGTGGCTTGGACAGCCAGCTACTGTTCCGGCATACTTGCCACGCGGAGCTGTGGTGTGTACCACTGGCAATTTCTGAGCTGCCCGTGCTTCTTGCAGCTCCTTCGCAGCTTTTGCCTGAGCCTCTGATGTCAAGAGAGCAAAGCGGTCTTGCACAAGCGATGTTGTGAAAGGCCAGAGATTGCTCTTTTTGTGGTACGGTCATGGCAGCACCAGGTCCGAATCCTTGAATCCGAATCTCTACTGGAGGCCATTGCATTAGGTTGGAGGCCATTGCCTGTCTTCACTCCCGCACCTCCTCAACGGCCTTTTGGGCCTGCGACAACTTTGCCTGGATGCAGACTGTCCGTCGGCAGGAGTTGGGGTACATCTGAGCGCAACAGGAAATCGGAGCCCTGGCATATGGCAGCCTCCAAATGGAACCCTCTGAACCCCTGGCAGACCCTATGTTGAGGGTCTCCACGACGGTCTCCACAACTTTCTTTGCAGGCATCTGCTAGTCAAAAAGTTCGAGGGGCTTGCGCAAATCGATATAATTATGTACATCGAATTGAACGTGGGCGGTGCATGGCATTGCGGATAAGACCACTTAATGCGAAGCCTTCCACTGAGCAAACAGGACCAGTCAGTAAATTCATGTAATTCCAAGCCTCTTTGGCACTGGCTTGCCGCAACAGCTGCTGTCCCTTCTGCTCCGCTGTCTTTCCCTGGGCCAAAGCTGGTGTGACTTACCCTTGTCTTGCAAAAGCAAGCTATGTACAGTCCCATTCCTGTGTTGTTAATTTCCAGCTATGCGCATGTGGAAGATATCTTGATCCAGTCATATATGATTGGAATTCCAATGCAAAGAGATTCATGATGATTCATGACAAAGGCACGGGGCAACCAAAAAGAAGTTGCAATTATTTTGCAAACTGCGGGCATCTTATAAGTCTTCAACCAAACAGTCATCTTCCAGACCACACCACTTGGCAACGAAGCTCCCCATTTTGTGGCCTCCTTCAGCATGCCAGCCACACTAGCGATCTCTTGGTCCGCATGGCGCTTCTCCTGAACAAAGCCGGCCCATCGGCTTCGGGCTCAAGCAGCTTGGCTGCACCGAAGGTCGAGGCGTTTATTGTAGGCATGCAATACACGTGAGCATTTGGCAAGGGGTGGTGGTGGACGGTGGGGGATGGATGAGCCAGTGGATGGCTACCACAATTTATAGTCTTTGTGTTCCTGTATGGGTGTACTTGTGAAGCAACAAGTCTCAGCGATACTGAGTGCCAGAGAGCTTCGTAGAAATAAGACTGGTGCGAGCGGTCTCCGGATGCGTTCGGGCATTGGCTGCCGTATGTTTAAGGCCAAATAAACAGATCGATGCAAACTTTGGGACTCAAATCTTAAACCTTTGGCGAATGTCCGAGGCCCTTCCTTGGCCAAAATGACTCTTGCCAGCTAATCCGGCTCTCATTCCCAGTGCATCATTTGTGGGAGAGATATGGTTTGCACAGGGTCTGCGATGCTGAGTCACAGACAGCGGCTGCACTAGCAGCAATCTGCCTTGTGGCTGAATCACAGGCAAGATTTTATGTCACACAGCACGAGTCTTTCTTGGTTTTAACAGACTACTAATTAGCCATTCATGTCTTGGTACTCCAAGCAGGCATTCAAATCAAAGGACCAACTTAATAACTTGTGCGACTCAATGAGAACCAGCATCAATGCTCCACCCACCGAGTTTGGCAATGTAGAGGGTTCACATGGTGTCTGTGCTGTGCCGTGACTGTGTGCCAAATTGGACTACTACTTGTTTTGAGTCAGAAATTGCCTTACTTTCCACAGTTGCCTTTTAACTTTTTTGGATTCAAAAATTGGTTGGTCTAGTGACTACTCTCTAGTCAAGGGAGTCTAGGTACCTCCAGCTTTGACCATTTACCCACTTTCTCTGGGCTCCCAACTCGGCACTGGCCGCCTCACGCTTGGCCATTGCGATCTGCCTTCGCTTCTTGTCTTCGAGCGCTTTCACCTTGGGGGTGGGTCGGGAGTTGGGCGGCCGAGTTCTCTGAATTTGCTGTCCAACAAAAATGAAAGGCGACCATTCTAATACCAAACATTGTTCCTAGTGGCGATGCCAGGAGCCCCTAGCAGCGTCCGATCGCTCCTAGTAGCGATGCCCTTTGCTCCGTTCGTAGCGTCCTGCTCCTAGCCCCGGTAAAACGCGTCGCTTTTCTCTTTTCGGGCCCAGCCTCACTGCTGGCATGGTGAACCTCAAATCGAGCCGACCGATCACCTAAGGGTGCTCCGTTCGTAGCATCTTTACTCCTAGAGACTCGAGACCCTAGATGTAGCGATGCCCTTTGTTACTAGTAGCATCCTAGTCCAAGTATGGTGCCAACTTGCGGTGAGGCTCCAAGTCTTACTCTTACCGAAAGCTCTAGTATGATCATGATCTAGTTATCCCGTCCATCTAGTCGATTGCTGCACATCGAAGAGTCTTAGAAAATGTATACAGAGTATGCCTGATCCTCTAGGCTGCAAATAAAACATATCAAATGTACAGAAGCTCTTGTTGACGTATGTTGACGTTATGTGAAGCTGCCACCCCAGGTGTTGAACTGCAAATAATCCTATTCCGCATGCTTTATTGGCTAAGCAAAGTACTCAGTATGCGCTTGACTTGACTCTCAGGTTCCCACAGTGCTGGCCTCTTGTTTGGCCGTGTCCTGCCAAAGAATGAGGAGGAGAAATGGCTCAATGGAGACCCATGTGGTGTAATCCCGAGTACCTATTAATAAACACTCCCCAATTAAAAAAAAACCCACGTCCGAACCCCTAAATTCGGTTTATATTTGGTTTTAAATTGCCGCCCTTTCAAGCCGCTACTAAACTACCAACATGGTCGATTTTGGGGGTAGTTTTTTTTATTAGGTTCCCCAAAAACAACCGTAACTGCCCACCTCTGTCCGCCCTGTCTATCCACCATGACACGCCGCGCTTACACCAGCAGGCTTTCCTTCCCCCAATGGCACGGACTCACGCAAACGCACTTGCCACCGAGGTCATGCAACACCGCATGGCACAGCGACATCACCTTTCGAAAGCTTTAGCTGTTAGTCTACCGAAGAATAACTATTCTAATGAAGGTTTTTGTAGGGGAAAAGGAAGACCCTTCGATCTGGAGCTTTTTTGCATTTTTGATACGAGTTTAATAAAGGATTTTATATAAAACTTTACGGATTTACTTTTTGGTTTTGAAGCTCTTCCCAGGTGACCCTATTTTGGACCCCCCGATTTCAGGGACCCCCTATTAAAAAAAATGCGACCGAGGTTTTTTTAATAGGGGGGAGGGGGGGGGGGGCCGTGTTTATTATTAGGGGGACGGGATTAATGAATTCAAATCGTTCAGTTTGGATGAAAGCAGTTCTCTCCAAGACCTGTCCTTTTCGTGGAAAGCCACTTCCAAGTCGTGCTTCGCTTCAGCTTCCATCTGACGCACCTGACGGAGACGAAAAAAGAACAGCAAAACACCGTAAACACCTGCGGATTTGGAAAGAGATACCATAGAAAGGAAATCCGATGAAAGGGAACTTTCTGTAATTTAGTGAATAGCTTTTAGCTCCAACTCCATGTCAAGGCGCCGCCGCCATTGCTTCCAACTCCTCCTTATGCATCTTCCTGGAGAACAAAAGAACATCCGATCTTTGCTTCAGTGGCAATTCGTCCGCCCGTTTCAGAGCTTCATTCCGTCTCCCAGAACTTGCGACAACGTGATCCTGTCTACCTTGGGCAACTTGTACTACCCAACAGCTTTCCACATCCTGAGTGCTTTGATCCACGCAAACAAGTCTCACACGAACCTTCGTGTTAGTGGGGCCTCCCGCCTCGAAAGAATTTCACCCAAGGAATTCCCCACGCCCAAATGGCGTCCTCAAGGCATTTTCAGAGACCTAGTGACCTAGCGGACCAGAATCTCAAGTCCGGCTTTGCCCACAACCAAGCCCTCAAGGGTCCCCGTCCTGGCAATGCCCATGAGGTGTTCAGCACGCTCCATCTCTCGATCCGCATGGGACTGGCCATGCCGGTGCTAGACCCAAGCGAGACCCTGTGTTATGCTCACCTGAAACAGCTTGAGTCCTGGAACTGGACAGCTAGAAAGAACATGGATATGACAATGGTATGTGCAGCATATACCTTCTAGCGTCATTGTGGGGCTGAAACACGCTGAAACACTACCTCAGCGAATTCGAGTTGGGGTTGTACATCTGCATGAGTTTGTCCAGACAACGTGGAGTCCGACAGAAACCGCCAAGAAAGAGATACAGTTCTGCTCTTAAACCAACAAAACGCGCTAAGTCTACAGTATCCAAATCTAATTAATGAATGTATAGTGTGGTTGTAAGGATTTGGAAGGTGTAGTGTGCATGGATTTGCATGTCTGTGCCCTCGAGCAAATGCCTTGGTACGATGGGCATCGTCGTCCATCTTCTCCGCTTTTTCCTCGTTGGATTGCGTCGAGACGTGAAGGCCCTAGCGATGCCCTTTCTCCTAGTAGTAAGAATGCTCCTAGTGGTGATGCCAGGAGCCACTAATAGCGTCCTTGCTCCTAGTAGCGATGCCCCTTGTTCCTAGTAGCTTCTTGTTACTAGTAGTAAGGCCAGGAGCCCCTGGTAGCGTTCATGGACAACGTATCACAGCTGTCTCCAAATGTCAGCCAGGGATGTCTTCAGCCACTCCTTCGCTCAAGGAACCAACCAGTTCAATGAACTGAGTTCTCTATCTAGAAGTATCTTGAGTGCCTGGGAGCTTTAGGACCTGGTCAAACTAAGAAAAACTTTGTCAAGGCGTCTAACTAGAGAGGGTACACTAAACTTGCTGCCAACCGCGCCTTCTGCCTTCCTTGGGCAAATCATATGCCGTTTTAACACCAACCATGAGCGCCCGCATGCGACAGCTTCACTCCCAATGTCATCCGCACGATTCCGAAGGGCTCAGCCGTTCGCTGAAGTCACAACCCCCACAAAGACTGCTCTGGTCCCTTTCAAAGCACCCGGGAGACATCCATGATCCATAAGTGCAGTTCCTTTCCAAAATTTCAACTTGTTTTAGCTTTGCAAAACTGGCTTGGCACCAAGGAGTAGACCCATAGTTGAAGAAACGAACCATTTGGTCAAGTTTGGTCGCCTGGAACCAATTGTCGGTACAGCATGGTATAGCACTTACAACCAGGCCAGCAACCATGGTCGCCAATACAGAAGCTACGCTGCGATGGGAGCATGGACTTGACACCATCTTTGGCCCACACAGCAAAGTGCCGGCTCTTCAAAGAACGGGGCTCAGCCGCCCAAAACGGGGCTAACCGAAAACTCACAGCACCATGAGAAACATCGCCAGGCCAACAGGTGGAGATCTCGTCTCGTTTCCAAATGGTCCGTTGCTGTCTTTCCTAAGGAACTTGTAAGAAGCCAATGGCAGTGGATCACAAGAGGCCCCTGGTTGACCGAAAATGAACCAATTCCTCTCTGTTCGGGATGTCAACCTTCCATGGTGTGTAGGCTAAAAATACAGATTTTGACCTGCCAATATGAAACGATAAAAGGGCAGCTAGGGAGAATGGCCGGAGCATCACGTGAAAAAGCCTTTCAGACCTCACGTCTCTCCCCTTCCCCCCCGATGCATCGAAGACGCCACATCTGCATTGGCTTTTCGAGCCTTCTCCTCCTAGTAGCGATGCCAGGAGCCCCTAAAAGATTCTTGTTCCTAGTAGTACAGCCAGGAGCCCCTAGTAGCGTCCTTGCTCCTAGTGGCAGTTTCCTGACTTCTGACTTGCAAGATCTTCCAAGATTCAGAGAAAGAGTGTGAATCTTGGAGTCATCGAGTAAGAACATGTTAGAACAACATTGCACACTGTGTCGGTTATGAGGGTGTATGTGTGTGTGTGTTCCTTTCATTTTGTGTTGCTAATTGGAGACTATTGGCTATTGGCCTGAGTGCACTAGGTTTGAACGAATGACAAATACTGTACAAAAAAGAGCATTGTTGTGAAATCTGCCTGTCTTAATATCAGCATGCTTGGCCATCGCTATTACAGTAGGTTGGAAGCTTCCATCTGCATCTTCCATGGTATAGTCATCTTCTCCAAATCGACTCAATACAAGTACAGTATGTGTGGCCTCCTCTCTGAGGCCCTTGCTGCTGCTTCTGACTCCTTTTGAGCTCTCGCCATCTCCTGGCAGAATCCGTGGAAGAACAGGATCCATCTTGGCAAGCTAGTGGTATTGTTGCCCATGATAAAGAAATCAGCATTCAGGTACACCTGCTTTGTTTATCGTGCAGATTCTGTGAGTCTCCTACTCAAACACCATGGCGCACCTCATCAGCCTGCTGCCTCTCAGCCACGTTCTTCTTCTCCTCCTCGCGTTCTGGTCCCAGTTGACTCGGCTTTGTCTGAAATCAGGCAAAAGAACGGAGCAATGAAGCCTTCCAAGCACCGAGGATGATAAGCTGCCGGTGATTGACTGGAATCATTCGGAAAGCTTTTCAGAGTCCCGACCCTCCCACCGTCCTTCGCCAAATGATTTTCACGAGCTTGCCTTGAAGTTAGCCCGAAGAGTCAAATCGCACAAAGCTGAAGTGGACAACTCACGTTTCCAGGAAGTTTGTTCCAAAAGGAGATCAATCCTATGATATATAGTGAAAAAAAAATGCTGAAGTTTGATGGCAAACGCCAAGTTCCTCCCTATGGCCTTGCAATGTCTCTGTGTGGCTGCATGTGCAGTATCATTGTCATGACGTGTCGTGGCCATTCCATATTACTGGGGGTTGAAATTGTATTTTGCACCAAGTGTAGTCTAGTGAAAATATGTTGATTATTAATCAATTATATAAAGTATATAAAAGTGTAAGCCATCAAATATAATATCATATACATCTTTCACAACTCCCCCTGGTTTTTTGTACCCTTTCAGAGCCCTGCTCTCGGAAACATTCCCCTCAATCAACTTCTGAGGCATCCAACACCTTGGCCATCTCTGCATCTGCGATCGACTTCGCATCCCGGATCGCTGCGTCCTTCTTCTCCTCAAGGATAGTAATATGAGAGAATAACAGGACCTCTTTATGGCACCCCTTTGACCTCTGGAAGTTACATGTTCCATTCAATTTTCAATCCACCACCGCATATCACCCCCCCAAGAATACCCAGCAGTGCTGCAGTGCTGGCAGGCAGGCAACATAAATATAAGCTGGCATGCTGAGGTCTTCCAAATACCATGAAAAATGCCTTTCATGGCATACCTGTGACCTCTGGAAGTTACGTTTTCGATTATATTTCCATCCACCACCACATATCACCCCCCAAGAAAACCCAATACAAAAATTCTTTAAACATCAGACTTATCTGACAAAATACAAATACTTGAAAAGACAATAGCAGGGTTGAAAAATGTAAGTTGCCACGTTCCAGGTATTATGCTACATTAAACCACCTCCCCTCTAAAGTCACTATCCGCAGACCAAGGATTCCGGAATCCCAGGGCTTTGTTCATCCCATGATTCACCATCCATGGGGGGAGGGAAGGGTAACATACGAGTACAATACATTTATCTCACCCCCTTTAAAATCACGTAGGGGGGGTGGTAACATACATTTATTTATACCCCGCAGAAACTGTAACTGACATTTTTGACGTCCCCCCCCATTTTCCTCAGCTAAGAGGGTGGGGATGTGTTTTTCTTTCTACAGTAGAGTACAAGTACTGGAACACAGCAGTCGGAGCCAATCCCAATCAGTGATACCTCCACAAGCAAGCATAGCACTCATCTACAACCTATAACACTCACCTACTGGTAGAAGGCAATTATCTTCAAAACAACATCTGAATCTGATGTCTGCCAGACCCGGTTTGAGGCTTTCTTGAAGCCAACCAAAGTGCCGCTCCAATTTCAGTCGTTCGTACTGCTAATTTGGTAGAAAGGTTGGAGGTCCGAAGGTCCAATTGGTGTAATTTATATAATAGTGAGATGGTCGTTGCCTGGGAAGTCTCCCATGGTCTCCCTAGTTTAATCCCCAATTAGAGTGGTTTCTGCGTGATCCCCCAAAAAACAGTTCTCCTCTCACTCCTCTCCTCTCGACGCAAACGCGAAGATGGAGATGGAAAGTGGAGACCGTTTTGATTAATCTGCGGGGTCTGACACAACGGGATCTATCAGGCCTGACCGTCTGAACCAACAAGGGTTGAAACGGACTGGAACGTTCTTGATCTATATTGATTTGCTCTCCCAGCTTGACAAACTAGAGATCCCAGCTTGCATGTTCTTTTTGTGGGAGTCGAAACCCACATTCTCCTCAGTGGCTTTCAAGTTCTGCGCATATGCCATTTCTTTCTCAACCTTTCGCCTGAAAGACTTGGTCGACAAAAAGATGTCGATTTGGTCAACCACCTAGATTGTGCATGACGTGAGCGGACCGAAAATCTCTCTGTGCCGAAACCCCAGAATTCAGTAAAGGCACTCTTGGAACACCACTGCAAGCACTTAGCAGCTGATTGTACAGTCAAGCAATTTCCCAACCTTTCTTTACAATTCTGTGATCAGGCCAAAGCATCAGAATAGGAGTGGAAGTAACTGAACCAACCAAGCTCACGATGAACAACCAAGCGCAAGGTCTTCGGTGAATTTCAGGGGCTTCGCCCACCTTTCTGCAGCAAGATCAGCTTGCTCCTTCTTTGCCTTGGCATCATCCTCTGAAGCCTCATTGCGCTTTCGCCAAAATCTTGCTTTCCAATGTTGCTGCATTGCTTTCCGCTTCATGGCTTGAAGGATCGCAGGAAAACCGAGTCGATACATTATGGACATGGACCGGACCACGCCTTCGCCATTTGTGCCTCTGCAGTTCTCTCAGCCTGGCCGAGGTGCTGTACAGGAGAAGAGACGTTTCCTTCCCGCACATTTGGGTCTATCATGGTCCAACATCCTTGGCCAACACTGTTCCAATCAACGAAGGAATGCAGATGTCACAGGCAAATCCTGAAACCCAACACAAATCTAATCTGGAGCGAAGAGAAGGTCTTGTCTGAGTCCGGCCTGCTTCGCCTGCTTCTCCTCTGCGGCAATCTTCTTTGCCTAAACAGACAACATAACATGACCTACGAGTTGACCAAACCGAGTCGGCTGAACGGTCCTGATTTCCTTGGGAAGACTCGAATAACATCACATCACTGGTGTGCAAGCCCACCTCCGCACCAACGCATTTCCAGGCGCAAAAGAGTTCTTGATTGGACTGTGAGACACTCCCCCAAGGCCCGTCGTGAGTGCTGTCAAGTGGCTAAGTGCATGGCCTGTTGAGCCTGAAGTGCCTGTTCCTGTGCCTGCTGGGCCTGTTTCTGAGCACCCGCTACAATGTCCTGGCAGGCAAAATCGCTGGTCTTTCTTACCTGCAAAATATCTTTCTCTTTTTGAGCAAAAGAGGTATCTACCTGTATGTCTGATGATTCTCGAATCTCGAATGTATCTGATATGGACAAGGCTGGAAACATCACCCTCACTGACCCAGCGGCCTCACCGGATGGTGCGGGAGCCGGGGCAGAGCCCCGAAGCTTCTTGGGTGACTGCGTTGGTGCATCTGGCAGACCCCAAACACTGTCCTGGCAAAGAATGAATCACGAACACTCACTCAACACAACATGGAACAATGACCTACTCACAAGACTAACATGATGAATTAGGAGCAAAGGAGAAAGCACGTTTATATAAAGAACTCAATCAAGTCCCAAAGCTCCCTCCAGTTCATAGGCGTATCAGTAATGTATTACTGTAGTCAATTACTGTCTGTCGACAGCAGGCTTAGCTTTGGGGGGTTTGGGCGCTGTGGGTTTGTCCGAAAATCAACGGAAGATCCAGATTCATCAAAAAAAGTGTATATATATATAATATACGGTGTAATTATACATGGTACTTGTATGCATTTGTGCTATATAAGTGTTCCGACACCCTGCAGGGTACAGGGACTTAGGTTCCCACAACCAAAGAGGGAGGGAGATTTCAAGATCCAAGCCCAGCGTGAGTGATACCGGTTTTGACCCACAACTTGATATCGTCTGGCGTTCGTAGCTTGCTGAGCACCCTGTCCGCTGCAGCCAACGCAACAGTGCTGAGGAAAAGGGTCAACTGCCTGCAGAGCGCAAAGCGCGAACCAAGTGCCCCTCTTCCAGAGGAAAAGCTGAAGGCTAGTGACGGACACCGGACAGCCACATACCGTACCAACCTATTTGCCAGAAGGGTGTTGGTTTCAACAAGCAAAAATGCACTTCCCAGAACCAAGGATTGGGGACTATCGGTTTCCCTTCAAAGCTCACAGAGTCCGCGCACCTCACCATGATGTTGTTTGAAAGCGACTCACGCAGCTATACCAGCTGATTGAGCCAAGCTCTGTGGAAATCATGACGCTGGGATCACTACTTACTTACTCTTAAGTTCTGAGAACATTGTTTTTAGCTGAAAAAAGTGCGTGGAAATTGAAGAATCGATGGGAAGGAAGCTCTTTGTGGCTCTGCGTGCATTGTGTGAGGCTCAAGAACAGGCCCACGACGTGGCACGACCAATGTCTTACGCTTTTGAGGGTCAGCATCTGCTGCACAACTGCACAACTCTGTGCCATATCATTCTTGCAATCTGTACAAGTCAACGTTCAGAACAACAACCACTGTAAGGTCTTCCAAGGCGCAGCATAAGGGTTGATCTCAAACAAAAGGCAAGGAGATATTCACCAAACGCTTTGACATATTTGGACCACTTGCTTGGAATCCTTTTGCATGCACAACATGCAGCTCAGCACTGCTGCTCACCATCGCGAAGTCACCAGTACATCCAGCCGCACCGGGTCACCCGGCAAAGAGCGCGCGGCACGCCGCCAGCGCGCTCCGCGTGACTCGGCCGTGGCGCTTGAGCCGCTGCAGGAGCTCGGCGTCCGAGAAGTCCCGGAGCGCCGTGGCGAAGGCCTGACATTTGTTCCTAGTAGCGAACATTGCTCCTAGTAGTACGGCCAGGAGCCCCTAGTAGCGTCCTTGCTTCTAGTAGCGATGCCCTTTGCTCCTAGTAGCGATGCCCTTTGCTCCTACTTAGTAGCGACGTTGCCCGAAGGCCAGTTCAATTCTACGTAGTAAAGTATGACTCGATTGTTTGCTGCAATTTGCAACGTCTCTCAGCAAGCAATTCCTAACACCGAGACGGGTCTATAAAAGGCCCTTCATTGCTACTCCCAGAGGTACAGTTACTCTCTGAAGTAAGGGTGGCCGGCTCGCACTGAGTCTGGATGATGTGGATCTCAATACCCCTTGCCCTCAGACTCTACCTTGCCTGCGGTGTCTGGAACTCATCCACCAGTGCCTGAAGCTGTCAAGGCAACAACCCTTCCAACATCTTCCAACTCTTCCCTCGACTCTTGCAACGAACAAAGGTACCATAAGGCAGCTGCAAAGAACAAGGACATCCAAAGGATACCTGGTGATAGATGGGTTGGATGCTTTACGGATTCTAAAGGACTGTCCCATGGTCCCCTGCTTTCGCCTCGCCTCTGTGGCCTCAGCACCACATCCCGGCACCACTCGCAGCATTCGGCCAAAGGCCTGCAGAATGGTCTCCGATGGCAGATGCGGCTTAAGGATCATGAAATGTTGTTTGCATTATCGTTGTGTTTTTTTGGGGTGGAGGTGGGGGTAGGCCGCTAAAGTAGCTAGGCAGCTAGTAGTTTAATTATAGCTACTAGTATGGACGCAGGATAGCTCGCGCTAATGATTTGGTTCCTACTTAATGTGGACAAACCCCATGATGTGGCACCTTGTGCTTGGGATTGTGCGTGAGCTTGGATCGAGGCACAGATACCGGTGGAGCTGCTTTGGGCTGCTGGACACAAAAGTGCAAGACACAAAAGACTTCTGAATAGATTGCAGGCAAATGCAGGAAGTTAGCATGACCCATCTGAGACGAGTGTGAGCCGTCTGTTCACTTCCTGCATTTCAAGCCTCAAAGACTCGCCGCTGGCCATGCTTCTTGGTGCGCTCCGCGAAATCCTCGTAGGAGACGTGGCCTGGATGCGAGCTGGGCCTTTTGAAGGGATTCGGGGATTCGTCTGCTTTGTGAGCCTATAGGGTCTGGTTTATTCAGCTGAACGGCGTGAATGCGACGCACATACGCCTGCTTCAAAGAAGGAACACTTGCCTTTGAGGTGGTTTGCTTCGACTAATCCAAACTACTACGGCAAGATCAAATTGCAGATCAGCGAACTGGGAGCTCCTTCTTTCCAGACCCGATGGGAGATATACCTAGTCAGACGCGGCTTTCAAACTAAGGCGCATGAGTCGATCTCAAAAGCCTGAAATACTAGTTACCAGTAACCACAGGCATCATGTTACCTAATTTCTCTCGATCTCTTCCGATGGATGTTGGCCCAAACCAGCGTCGTCGCTCCTTCGGAGCAGCGCTGCTTCTCGAGATTTTTGTGCAGGGCAGCTAGGAGGGCGATGCTGTGGGGCGTCGAGAGGGAGTGGAGGACATTGAAGCCTGCATGGCTGCAGCTTCTACCAAACAAGCTTAGAGGTTCTTCAGGCATGAATGCGCATGTGGTGTCATTGAGCCATGAGTCATTTTAAGTCTACGAGTCTACATTGAGTCTACATCTACTCCGTGGCATCCTTTTTTTCAGTTCTGATTGTGGGAGAATGATTTCTGCAAATCTCCACATTCTCTGAACTCTTTCAGTCCCCCTTTTGACCAAATCACAATAAATCACCTCTCATGAAGCAATTAAAACGGTCCCATCTGCTCATCACCTGAGATCAGCTGCGTATGGCTGGCACTGCTGCTGAGTGCTTTTTCGCAGAGCCGTGGCCCGGCCAAGCGCTGCCCAAAGCCGCGGCCGGACCCACCCGGCGCAGTCGACCGAGAAGGACCTGGCGCCGGAGGTACGAATTTGGCAAAAAAAGATCCTCATAGCCAATAGCCAACTCTGGAAAAGCTTATATAGAACCATTGAACATAGTTGAACACCTGCAATGAAGTTGGATACGTTGTCGGGTTTGTGAAGAATGGCTTGTTGCCTAAGCTTAGCTTCAATAACTTCTGTTCCCTCCCAAGGACAGATGGCAAGCGATGCCAGGCAAACCCTCTTCCACTCCAAAGAGAGCACCACTCCCCTCGATGAGGAAGATCACACCCTCCAAGTTTGGCGCCTCCAGAAGTCGGCCTTTTTGTTCCTGGTGCCGAGCAATGCAGATCTAAAGAAGCTATCGTCAGATCCTAAAAACATCCGTTTAAACATTGTTATGTTATAAGTTATAATATAATATGTTATCATAGTTTAAGCACAGCCGGTGAAACACTTCACTGTGGCACGGCAGGATGTGGCCCAACCCCAGCATGAGTCAAAAGCCCCCCCAAACAAGCCCATTGCTTCCTCGTAGCGGCCATCAAGAATTGATGAGCTGAGATCCGCGAAGGTCTTCCTCTCAACTATCCAACCTGCTACCAACTCCTGCGTGGCGCGTGCCGTTATTTGGAATCTTGGAATAGTTGGAATAGTCTGCCTACCAAACCTTTGGGCATGGCTCCCTGCAGATTTGTCATTGAATGGTTTTGCACAGTTTTACAAACTGCGTCATTGAGTCATTGAGGTCAATCTGCTGCACTCCACCAAAAAAGTGGTCTCTCCACGTCCAATGATGTGTGGTGGTTTGATTTCTGCACCGTAGCAAGATACCCTGTTTGGCAGGCCTCACCCTTCTCATTCCGCCAGATCCAAAGCACGTCTCCCAAGGGCAAAACGCGGGCCTGGACAGAGAGTCAAGGTGAATGGCACTGTCACGCGTCTTTATCTTTGACAGAACCTGTCCAAGTCAGATTGTGAAGGATCCTCAAGTTATATGGGTGTGTATTTTAATGGGGAGACGCCCTGGTCCAATGGGTTTTGGTCTGTTTCCCTTCTCCCTATTTTGTGTATGACATACCCGTATACTTACAACTTACAACATCTTACAACTTCATTGTCGAAGGTACGTAACTTACAGCCAGTAAGTATCACTGAAGCTCGCATCAAATCCGATCTCTGCCCCCTCTCCGCCCACGGCCTCCACGGCCTCAACGCCCAGGCGCTTTTGCAGCTCACTGAGCATGGCACCCTTCAGGGCATGCTCCTTGCTAGCACCCACCTGCGACGCACAGCTGGATAAACCAGACAGGCTATAGCATGCTATGGCTATACGAACACATGTGCAGCTTGGAAACGGATGGTCCAAAAGCAGTTTCCAAGATTGGATTCAAAGCAGCTTGCATGATGGAGGCCATCCAACCTACTAGCGATGGCCTCCAACCTACTAGCCACTTTGAATCCAATCTGATTCGACTGGCTTTCAATTGAGAAGCTAGTTTGGCTACTGCTGCTACTGCCTGTTTGAACGTTCACCCTGCCATCGACCCTTGGCCTCCCGGTGGTCCAGGAGCAGCACCTGAGAATGTCTTGGGAAGCACGGGTCTCGATTCAAGAGTTGTCTATTGGTGGATTTCTGCTGCATCAAAATCTTGCAACAAACACATGTGCCGTGTTTCTTGGCTCTTGGTCACGTCCTGGATCAGAATCAGAGGACGAGCTGTGCATGTCCAAAGGTGGGCGACCTGTTACCAAGACCAACATGACTCAATCGCATCATATGATCATCTTATATCAGCTGAATCTTTTTCACCAGTTGGATACAAAAGCTTGGAAAATCTACTGTGTCCCTGGGCGCCTCCTACTCTGATTCCACCAGAAATACAATACACCTTTTCGCACCCCCAGGCGATCTCCCCATGCCTCATATGAGGCAAAACACACAACGCCCAGATTGAATATATGTGAATGGAAAGAAATGCAAAAAAGACATGGACATTCAATTAACCTGTGCAGTTCCGTGGACCCCCATTGAGATCATTGAGACATGCCGTGGAGCGAAATGGCGTACCTTGCGCTTACCCTGCCATTGCGCCAAAGCACCAGCTTGCCCGGTACACTGAAGCTGCGCAGCTCCAGTGGCTCCTTCCGACTCGCCAGGCGCGCCAGATGTCGAGGCTCAGGCTCCGAGCCTGAGAAACGCTGGCGAGGTTTTGGATCTTCATAGCTTCTTGTTACTACTAGTAAGGCACTTGTTACTTAGTAGCGATGCACTTGTTCCTAGTAGCTTCAGACTGGACTGGATCGAGGTTTTGAGACTGCGCTGCTACGTTTTTGGAGGTTTGGTATCGATCTTCAGTTCGACCTGGTTTTGTGAGATGCCAGGTGCTCCTGGTTTTGCCAGGGTCAGTTGGTGTGGGACAAGCATTGGAGTATGGGCACAGCTCACTTTTGCCGCAATTCCTTCGGATCTGTGGCACACTTCCGACTGACAAGAGCTACTGCTCTACTATGCAGAAAGACTCCAAGGCCCCAAGGCTCAGCCGCAAGGGCTCTGAGTGTGATCCGTCCTCAACAATCTTGGGACCAGATGGTTTTGACTGGGCACTCTGCAAACCAGGCCAAGGAGAGGTCTGTCACTTCGTGACAGGCCACGTGAACATGTCTAGAGCACTTTGGCACACATTAGCTGGAAGCATCATGACCACATGCCTTCCATGCTGGCCCAGGGACGTGGTGGCCCATCTGACTAATCTCTTCGAAGCAAATGAAGATGTCGTGTCGTTCAGCTCTTTAGAAGTTTTTAGAATGGGTTCCTTCTACAACAGCGCCACAAATCAGCCACCACATGGGAAAAAAAGCAGCATGCGGCCGGCGGCCAGACGCTAGCGTCTGATAATAACTCTAGTGAAACCCTCGCCTACCTACCAGACCTACTCTGCCCCAGAAGGAGAGAAAAAACTGAGCTGAAGGCCACGAGGTCGAACAATAAATTGGCGTGGAATAGAATGGAATCAGTCATGACATGTCAGGTGCTTAATCAACTGCTCAGTTGTTCCGTACGAGTCCTTGTGTGCTAAATGGCCCTTTCATGGACAATCCATACATGACCAAAGTAGTCATGGACTATGAGCACAGCACAACAAGTCTGTTGGTCGAAGGACTATCCTGTTCCACAAATGTTCTTATGATGACTACTTACAACAGGGGAGACTGCCTGCATGAAAAAATGATGTGGTATTGATTGGTACGTGCCTGGTGGCCATCCCACAAAAAGAAAGTATTGCACTCACAGCACGCAAGTATGTTCCGCGTAGCGAGAGGAAACCAGTTTTCTTCCCAAAATGGGCCACACGAACCATGTGTGCAACACAGTCTGTCACTGCACGAGTACTTCACCAACCTCTCTTCAGCTGGATGATCTCTCCTCAGATGCTGCTAAGCTTTCGTTTAATGAGATCTACAATGTCCTCCTTTACCATGCCACAGGTGGGATACTTCACATTCGCTTCCGGATGTCCACGCAACGCACTCTGGAGTGAGGTTCGAGTGATGGGCCGGAAGATCACCTCAGCGGCGGGCGGATTCATCTCGTTCTCAGGACGAAAATGTCAAGTCCGTAGGGCTTTTAGAAACGAAGCTACGGTTTCGAAAAACTCAACCTCAAGGATTGTTCATGAGAATTTATCTTCTGTGGATTTGGAGTGTTTGTGACCAATAGAATCAACATATAATATATTTTCGCCTCCTACGAAAGTTGCTCACGCTCACTCTCTTTCTTTTTCACTGGGGATGCGAACGGTGCAGGTAATCTGCTTTGTATATCTGGTCTTGCATCCTTCTTACTTACTTCTGTACACGTCACTTATTCTATACATCACATGCACTAACTTATGGAAAATCTTTGGTAACCTTTAAAAACGACTTGGACCTGAACTCATCCACTATCATCTAGACTACCCGGATCACTCCCCATGAATTGTAGTCGAGCTCACATCCACTCTGACACAGTCGATCGTCTCGTACACCTCTTTCCACTTCAGCCTTGACGGGGCGTCCGCGACGTTGCTGGGTGATGGAACCTTGCTATACCAGTTCAAGCTATTTGCATATGCATCCTGCAACATAGCCTCAACCAGCATGGTCCTACTTGCTATCGACTTGGTGACACCTGTCACCAGAGCTTCCTTCACTCCTTCATTGTCTATGAAGTAGAGCACCCGGGCTCCTTGAGTCACCTCTTTGAAGTCTTTCTTGACCACTACCACTGGAAGAAGCTCCGCTTGAGTGATAACTTGCTCATGACCATGTGCACGCCACGTGTCAACTATCCACTCTGGGACTGTGAAGCCAAAAGCAAGGGGTCTCGCAAGTTTAGGTGAAAAGATCACAGCACCACACGATGCAACTCCCTGCTCATAGGCCCCGTCTGTGAAGACTAGACAGGGTGGCTCCTTACCTAGAACGTCCAACCTTCTGGGTGGTGCACTCCTCAACAGCTTCGCTGCCAGGCCTAGGGCCTCCTCAATCTCGCTCGTCACATGGCGCACGGCCTTGGTCATCATGGCCCTCCTCTTCGCCGGCTCCATGATTGGGGCCAGCCACCTTCCGCTGCACTGTGCTTCTGCAAAGTTCAACCTGCCATACACCTTAGCAGCCGTGGCCGGAGGAAAGGTGTTCAAGTCCTTCATGTCTACAATTGCTGACTCCAGTCCGTCCACTCTTTCTGCCTTGTTCTTCACCAGGACAATGCTGTCATGGGACTGGGTCAAATCAATCACTCCTCTTCTTAGGCTCCTCAGCAATGCCCCACCCTAGTGTCCTGAAGGCCTCCTCCATCACCACCTGGGACCTGATTGCCATGGACTCCACATCGATGTGGGGGTAGTCATCGAAGTAGTTCACTACAGGCATCAGGAAAAACCTCTGCGTGATGTCTCTTAGTGCCCTTGCTACTCTATTGAAAGCCATGACTGCCCCCGTGGCCCCAAAAGGAAGCACATACGACACGAAGAACTTCACTACGTCCTCTGCCGGATCTAGCACTGCAATCACAGCATTACTCCGGTCGACTGGCGACAAAGCAAGCTGTTTGTAGGCCGACTTTAGATCCAAACATCTACCACTCAACTTCAGCCCTCTTCCTCTAAACTCTTCCGCCTTGCTGCCCCTTAGGGTCATCCCCGACGAAAGCTGCACTTGAACCTCGTTGCCCACTCCTCCAAACACCCTGGTCCACGCCGCCGCCAACGAGACCACCTCATCGACGCCACCCAGGTCTAACTTCTCGCCTGGGCCGTAGCATTGGTTCACTGCGAACTCGCTCAAGTCGTCTATGTTCCTCACCTTCTGACCTTGCACTATGCCGAACCTGCGGCTGGGGGTCCACAAAGGTCCCATTTTCCCACTCACCTCTGCTGCCGTCAACGGTCCCTCAAGCCAACCTTTGCGCACTTCGCTGAGAGTCGCTTCCCAGACTTCCTGGGCAACATCGACACAACCCTCACCTACTTCCGCACTCCTGCTCGACATGTGTCTTGGAACTCTACTAGCCACCTCCTCCTGAGCTGACTTCGAACTCCTCCACAAGTCTTCCCTTTCCAGAAGAGGGGCCTTACATTCAGGTGCGAAACACCCCGTGCCTTTGCCCTCACCCGTGATGTTCATGCCTTTGCAGATGTCGTCGACCAGGGTCTTGTCCCCGTAACCCACAATCTTGATCATCTCATCTAACAGCAACAGTTTCTTGGGCACCAACACCTCTGCCACTTTAGGTTCCATGCTTGCATGCAACTCTTGTTCTCTACTCTCCAACTCCCGGGCTTTCTGCTTCATCCACCTGACCTCTCTTCATGAATGGCCTCGGTCCCTTTGGTGATCACTTGGTACATGCCATCCAAAACATGGTCCGGCATCTGGAAGGAGGAGTCAAATGGGTGTTCCAGCAACTTTGCTCTCCTAACTGCTTCAAGTGGGGTCATGGGGATGCCAATGCAAACTGTCCTCTGACTGCCGTCCCCGACTTCTTCCCCCTGATTGGACGGCAAATTGTGCAAAATTCGAGTACCAGGAGGAAAAACATGGTTGTTGACAACATGTTCACGCTGCGATCGACCGTGCCAGCAACGCAGGGTCCGTAGATCGTCATGGGCAGAGACTTGGATCTCTACCACCTGCCCATCCTCAAGCAACATCGCCAAGGCCTTGCGGCCTCGGGGTTGTCGACCAGCGGCTACTCGCCACCCGGAGGTGCCTGGAGGGCAGCAGGTGTAGATCTAGGTTAAATGTTCACTGGGTATCCTTGTTGTTTGGCAAGCTTGCTGATGATGATTGCCACCCGTTGGCACAACAACTTGCGGTGTCATACTGCCATCGACCATCCAGGGACTTACTTACTTTCCAGGCTTTGTGCTCATGGGAACGATCACACATGACTCCAAGCTGGCATAGTTCCCTGCAGTTGTGCAACAAAGATGTCTTCTTATCTCTGCTACCCCCGTGCATACACACTTGAAAGGTTGTGAAGTATACTCCAGGAATGCTGAACAAGTCCTTGATACACGGAACTTGCCACACGTAACTGTTCGTGGGATTCTCAATGAACACGTATGTACCATGTTGATGGGCATAAGCAAATACTCGTGCTGCAACATAGTAACATGCATTGGCCTGCTCGACTCGCACCCGGTCCCTCCCTTGAAGATGAGGTAGTCCGCTTGGATACTCTTCACTGCGCAGGGGAGCCGGAGACGGTACTCCTAGCCGTTGGAGCCAGCGAGGGATGGGTTTGTCTCGAGCTCTGGACGATGTTCCGCATGGAGGGGCCATCGGGATGAAGAAGACCGCACCTCCATCGATCTTCTGCTCGATATACTTCGCACTGGATTCTTTGGATAAGTTCAAAACTATACACGGTCCAACTCTATTCTTGCACATCTCGTGATCAATACCTAATGCAGCAAAACCATGTGACTTAAGACACTTACTTAACTTACAAGACCCAGCAAACATTTCAAATGCACTTGGCGGCAATCCGCTTGACATTTTCATTCAGCTTGCCAGGGTCTTGCCTGGAAAATTTGAAATCATCTGTACAAGTTTTGGGCATGGCATCGTCTGCCTTGCTTGCATCCGGCGCTACTTCCACTTGCGTGGCATCTGTGCTCTCTTCGGGCTCTTGTCTGCTGACATTGCCCAATTCCCTTGCCATGTCGCGCCGACCAGTGTCTTCTCCTTCTCACTGGTTGCATTGCAAGGCCCCGTGGCCTCCCTTCCAACACTTCATGCAAATGTGGAGCCCCTTTCCACACTTGCCATCTTTTCCTGCCTTGCAGCTGCCCATCTGGTAGCCGTAGCAGATCCTTTCGCCGTGCTTCATTGGCGAGTAGCCCCAAAGCTCCCTTGGCATCTTGATGGGCATCTTCTTTGGAGCTGCTGACTTGTCTGCCTCCGGCTGCGGGTTCGCCTTCGTCTTCTTGGCTTCCGTCTCCTTCAGCTTTTCCTTCAACTTCGGATTCTCTCTCATCAACTTGCGCTTGCTGGCCGTTGACCCTGTTGCCTCTGGTGCTGCTTCTCCATGATCTTTGCTTGCGCTCGCTTTTGCTCCCGGCAGCGGCAACAGCAAAGTGATGAACGCTGGCTCCATGATGACCTTCTCCAGTGCACTGTCGGCCAAGCGCTTACCTGTAGCGTCACGTCCGAGGTCTCTTTGCAGCTCTTCTGCCATCAGTTTGAAAGCTCTGCGGTCAGCTGCTGCAATCTGCGCCAGAGTGACTCCAGCATACCCCATGCATGCCTCTCTCTGGTACTCTTGGAACATCTTGTCGATGAGCTTCTCATGGGTTGTGAAGGTCATAACATCTGCAACCTCCAACGCCAGTGTAGGCTTGCCGAAGCCGAAGATCTGTCTTGGTGTAGCTTTGTCTCATCGTGCGCCCTGAGGTGACCTGAAGCATCTTTCTTGATCAGCTCTTCTGTCTTCACGTTCAGGAGCTCTTGGTCCCTTGTCGGTACCTCATGAGGGGCAAGGTACCTCAGCTCACCCTCAACCCTCATTGAGTGGCACTTGTCCACCACATGATGGGCTGGCTCCAGCTGATCGGACATCTGTAAGTGCCCGTAGGTCAACTTCATCTGCGTCCAGCGGGTCTTGCGTTCCACTGGCGGCAACTTCCTGGTTTTGCTTCCGTCTGTCTCCTGGGTCCCTTCCAGCCTGCTCCGGAGCTCTGCTGCAACCACGGTGTAGGCCTCGGTACAGCTTCCTCAACTTGGGCAAATCGGCATGATCTGCTCCCCCCAATAGGGGCACTACCACTTGAGTCACGAAGCTAGCGTCATCTCCGGACCCAGGAGACCAACTACTTGCGAAGGCAAAGGTCGAAAGGGTGGTCCATCCTCTTCGAGTCATGGCATCCTTGTACCCCTCCAAGCCCATGTCTTTCAACTTCGACTCACCCAATAGCTTCGGTTAGCCAGATTTCTAACTATTAGGTTGTATAGACTATTTGGTAAGAAAACAGACTAAATAGTTTAAACGTGTTTTGACTAATAGGTTTATAGCTCTTTCTGA